GTGGGGCTGCAGTGATGGAGGATGGGCTTTGGCAGCGGAGCTGTGGCCACCAGGAGTGGAAGCCATGGAAGGGGAAAAAGGAACCTGGGAGAAACTGGAGTGGGATCAGCTCAGGTGCAGGACAAGCTTCCCCCACCTCACTCAGATCCTTGGTTTGCAGCCCCCAGCACAGAAATCCGGGATTGCAGAGCCTGGGAGCAGCAAGGGCTCTGTCCCCACTGCCTGCTCAAGGCCCTGGGGTGGCTGTGCCTGAACTCTGTCACCTGAACTCATACAGGGAGTACTGGAGGGGATAGGGGCAGCAGGGATTGCTGCTGATGCACTGATTAAAATGAAAATGAATAATCAGAGCAGAGCTCAATGATTATCATATTTAAATGGAAATTAATTCTGGAAAARCTGATAAGGAGAATAATAAATAATAAATTCTCTTTTCAATTGAACTCAGGAGGGAGGGGCTGCAGGGACAAACAAAGGGAAAGCTCCTGCTGGGGCTGGGACTGCTTCTACCCCTTCTGGTGCCACCCCTGCAGGTGCCACCCATGGCTGCAGGTGCCACCCCTGTTGGTGCCACCCCTGCTGGTGCCACCCCTGCTGGTGCCACCCATAGCTGCATCAGCCAGGGCCAGGTATCCTGGCTGGCCCCAGGGAGCACTGAGGAACCAGGGTGGGGCTGAACCTCCCACAGGTATTCCAGACCTTTCCTTTTGCTCTATGAAAGGAGCAGAGTTTGGTGTTTCATTGTTTTCCAGAGCACAGACACCTCAGAAGTGCAGSAACATTTCAGTTTGACATTTCCAATGGAGCAAACACTGATTTTTATCGAGGTCACGGCTCTGTTCAGCTGCACATCCCGGGAGTTTTCCATYTCCCAGAGCCCTGCAGCCCAGCCTCCCTGACCACCACCTTTTCCCATATTGGGGAATTTTAAAAAGCCYTGCAGCCCGWTTYCCACCCTTTCTAAGCCTGTCCTGCYGATCCCAGCTCTGGGATCCCCCTTGTCCAGCAGCAGGGCTCCAGGAAGCTCCTCAGCCTTCCCTGCCCCTCACTCCTGGGCCCTGCAGGGCTGAGGTTGAGTTCCCAGAGCACCCCCAAATCCCAGCCAGGAAATCCAAACTCCCAAACACCCCAGGGATGGTTTTTGCAACCAAGCCCACCGTGAGATTTCTGCAGGAGCTTTCCCTTTGTTTTCCAAGGGCAAGCCAAGGGAGAATCCAAACAAAGGGTTAAGGAAACACAAGAGCTGTGAGCTCTGACAGCACCTGGGAGAATCAGATACTGTTGCCATGGAAAGCCTTTAAGAACTACACTTTTGAAGATTTCTAGAAATCCTTTTCAGCAGTGAGTTCAGGGGGAACTGTGCCTGGAAGGGGCTCCAGAAGAAGCCTCTGAAGCAGCTCCCAGTTCCCCCAGCCACTGGACCCACCCAGGGATTGCCAGGCTGTGGGACCCTCAGTGGGGACCAAGTCACCCCAAAGAGCAGCACACAAAGTGCTACAGCCTAGGAAATGTCATCTCTGCCAAAATCCCAGTTTGTGCTGGCATGCTGGGATCTGAGCACTGGGYTAACCACAGCCCTTTAGTGATATTAAAAACTTAATCAACCCAAACTATGGATGATAGTCAGTCCTTCTCCTCCAAGAAACTATAAAATCTCCTGATACACCCATGGAAAGTGTTCTTTATTCCCCCAGGTGCTGGGGAGCACCACTGCAACACAGGGGCTTAGCTCTGAAAGGACTGGAGATTTTTATTCCAAAAGTTTTTTGATTATTGAAACAAACTCTGGAGAAAATCCTTCCCCCTTCACTGGGCTGCCAAGGATTTGCTGGGAGTGGGGAGGAGGATGCAGGGAGGAGGTGCAGGATGCAGGGAGGGGATGGATGCAGGGTGCAGATCAGGATGAGGGCAGGAGGTGTAGGATGCAGGTACCAGGCACGCACCTGTGCCAGTCCAATTCCACCATGTCCTAGTGGTCCCAGGGACCGTGGATGGAGGAGGAAAGGAGGAGGTGGGAGGATGAGCAATACTTCAAACTGGGGAGAGTAAATGGTGGTTGTGGGGCTGCTCAGCAGATCCTGGTGCAGGGGCAAAGCCAGACCTTGGTCCTGGGCAAATCTGCAGAGAGCAGCACCAAAGTACCAACCCAGGTCCCTTCCCAAGCCCAGCCCAGGAGCCTCACACTGAGGAGGAGCATGGGCTGACTGGGAACACAGTGCTGGTGGGACTGGGACACAGCTGAGGGGTTAAACTGGGAACACAGTGCTGGTGGGACTGGG